TGAGGATAGGAAGAATCAGAAAAGAAAATCATAGACTCTTCAGCAGTCAAGCTGAGATTAAAACTTAGCTCCAACTACCAAGTACATCTTTTAATCTTGCATTGCTTCACAATAAGCAGCTGCCCAGGCTTCCTGGCCTGAGGTCTACGTGATTGCTGTGCTGATGATTGTCGGTGTTCAACTCAACATTAGTGGCCAGTTGTTCTTCTCAGGGCACTCTTTGAAGGGGTTGTTTTTGGAGGTATGGATGAAGCAGGGAAGGGTGGAAATGCTGGGGGATTTGGAAGTGGGAAAGAGAAAAATGTGCCATAGTTGCTTAAGAAAGGACATTAAAAAAAGAGCGTTAGGGCCAGCCCGGTGGTGCACTGCTATAGTGTGCCACTTGGGAAGTGTGGCGGCGCTCCCTCCGAGGGTTCGGATCCCACATGCAGACCGGTTCCCGCTCACTGGCTGAGCGAGGTGCGGGAGCAACACCGAGGGTTGCGATCCCGTTGCCGGTCCCGGTCCGGTACGGGGGCGACACTGAGGGTTGCGATCCGTTGCCGGACACGGAAAATTATTAGTCAACTCATTTATAAAGAGTGGATAAGTGTCAGGACCAGCAGAAAAAGAAAAAGTAATAATCTAGTTTAAACTGTAATTTCAGCTCCTCTATTTAGGATGATCGAATACACCATTGTCATTGCTCTGCGTTGTATTTATAGATGATAATATTGGTACAAAATACATATAGTCAGTTAAGTCTTATAAAATAAGATCACCAACATCTTAAATAACCCTCATGAAGAGCCTAATTCACTGGTCACTTAAGCATTCATATAATCATCATTAACGTAAGTTATTTCCTTCTGTGAGTTCAATGGTTTTCAATCAAGAATAGCATTTAATGGGTGTTGGACAGGCCTGATAAACCTCCTACAATGTGCACAATAAAGGATTTTCCCCACCCAAAATGCCATTACTGCCCTTGTTGAGAAACATTGCCTAGCAATGTCTGTGGTCCTAGAAACTTCCTTCTTACGATGTTTGCTTGAAAAAATAAACAAAACAAAAGAAAAAGAAAAATGAAAATGTTTTTTACCTAGATATAAAAATGCTTTATTAGATGACTAATCAAAAGATAAAAACAAATATAAAAATACACTAGTCCTTCGAGTCATGACATAGAGAACTAGTTAGAATTCTTGGTTACATATAACAGAATCCAACTTAGATAAAAAATAAATTCACTGGAAGACTCTGGGGTAGTTTTGAGAATAAGTGGGAAGGCTAGACAACCCAACCCAAGATGGAATCAAGAAAAGCAAGTAACTGCCAAGATCCTATCACAGAATAATCTTTGTAGAACACTGAGCAGATTACACCACATTTCATATTGCACAATGACACCACACTCACCCTTTCCACAAACGGGCAGGCTACCAAATTCTGTGTGGTAACTCACTGAGCATGACACTTAGCACAGTTCTAAATTTAACGTATTTCTTGAAAATAATGAGAATAAGCAAAATAAAATGTCAAGCTCATGTAACCTTAGCTGACCCCATCTTTCCTTGTGCAATTCATACTTCCTGAGGGCACATTTTATTCTTGTATTGTTTTGCCTACATTCTTCTTCCAAAAGCTTTTACTGGGATCACTGCCATGTTGAGAGTTCCTGTCGTTCTTTAAGTTATTTCTCATGAAGCTGCAGTTCAAAACACACACACACACTGTGATATTTCTAACCTTTGACTTGCTTCTTTTTATGATTCCCAAGACCTTGTCTTTGTTATACATTAGATGTGGATTCAGTTCTCTCCAAAGATTGCAACCTAGAACATCAAGAACATTTCAAGATGAGGTCCATGTTCTACCTGCTTTGAATTAATTCTCCTCTGTAGTATCAGAGGTCTCCTTCAGGAGCACAACCTTCTACATAAGGAGTGTGACTGAGATGGGCATTCTCCTGATAACTTAGGTAAGTTAATGAGATAGCTTCAGATTTCCTCAGTCAAAACCAACACCTCCAGCAGTTGCTTTGGATGGCCTTTCTTTTATAATGAAGACTTACGCATAAAAATCTGTCATTAATCTGTGTATTTCCAGTCTGGAAGAGCTAAGAGCATGTCCCTAAACTGGTTTCTGATTATATGGCAGAGAAATTTAATCTATATCTAGTAATTACTCATACTCTGAGTCTTGATAAGATCAATGAAGCAATCAAATTAATGAAAACTGGAAAATGGTAAATTGCTCACATAATTTTTACGTCTGTGTATTTGGAACCAAGAGAAAGGGCATATGGGTTTGAGGGTAGATGAAGGGTAGAAGCTGTAGAAGCTACGTACAATTAAAGAAGCTTTCAGGAATTTGTAAAGCATTTCCTTCACCACTGTATTTTGTTTTATTCCCTAGCTTATGAAATATCCAATCCTGAAAGTATTTAAGTGCTCAGCTACCCTTACCATTAGCATTTTATTTCCAATGTGGCATTTTTTTTACATGACACATAAACTAATGAAGTCAGCTCATAAAATTTAAGTAGCCCAAGTTTAAGTACATAGTTTACAAAGAAGCCATTATTGCATTTGTTGTCGTCATTGAATTTCAAGTGGGAAATTATCCATAGGATTCCAAATTCTGACACCTATCTTTGGCCCAAAAAACAGAAACCAGCCCCAAACTAGGTATTGGAATTCCCCACATGCATATAAGCCTGCTTACCTACTTCTTATCCTTGGAGCTTAATGAAAAATATTCTCACGGCTAGTTTAATCTGCCCATTTTTTACCTAACCTAAAGGGAAGGGAATCTAGTTTACTGGTCTACAAAATGAGAACTTGAAATCCAATAAACAAATGTTGCTCTGAAAACGTTTCAACATTTTTTCCTCTTTCTTTTGTTTAGTACCTGCTGTGTCTTTCAGTACAACATAATTTATGCAAGATCTGCAGCATATTTCACCAACTGAATTGCACTTTGCATAATTTTCATAATTTAGAAGAATTATCCACAGAACACTGTTTCCATTTTCTTCCCTTAGCAGTGGACTCATATCTGGCTTCTGCCCTCACCACTTCATCAGAAATTGTCCTTATGTGACCCAATGTCATGCAGAATAATCCTCCCTTTTAGAGCTAGATTAAGGTTAGCCAGAATCACCTGGTTCCAGATGATTTCAACATACGAAGACTCCCCAAGATGTTCCCATTTTCATGGTTACCGCTGCCTATGGGCCTATATTTCCTTGTACACTGTGTATCTTCCACACCGTATAGGCCTAGCCCTGAAGCTCTGCCCATTTTATAACAAAGAAACAAAAATCTTCATTTATGAGTTTATTGAAGATTCAGGTTAACCTGAATCAGGTTATCCCAAGCCTCAAGCCATCACTTACAATATCTTCTTGGCACTCATCTCTTCTCTCCTGGATTGCCAAAGGAACTTAAAATCCTTCTTCAACTAGCTAGAACAATAACTAAGCCATCTAGGGATTCAAGAAAAAAAGGGAGAGGGGGGAGAAAGAGTCTTGTTACTTGTCAGGATCCACATTCCCTGGGAGGTAGTTGTGGTATTAAATAACAAAAAAAAATTTTATTTCATTCTCTACAAAAAGGGGGGATAATCATGATAAATTTTATTAATTAATTAATTGAGATAAATCTTATTAATGTACCCCATAGATTCTTTCCTCCAAGAAGTGGCACATGGGAGGACAAGACCCAGTAGTGATTTGTGGCATCCAATCTCTCTCCCTAGACCCTTTGACTCTCTGCCCAAGCCCCTTTTAATTCTCATAGAACTAGACTTACAGTTAACAGCCCTCCTGGGATATGACTTTCTTCCCTAACCCCTAGATATAAAAAGACTCTCTTACCAATTCCCATACATACAACAGGAGCTCCTTTACTAGTTAAAGACTCTTCTGCTCCACCTTAAGCCCCCTTAAATGTGGGGCTACTGGATCAGACAGGGGCCCCTGCATGTCAGCAAACCCTGGATGACCTTGGGAGACCAGAAAACACAATGTTATTTTTTTACTAAAACCTAGTAGCTTCATGATTTAAGATTGGTCAGGAAGGTGGGACCCACCTTCAGCCTCTCTCTCCCATCATGATGTCGAGGGGCTCTCCAGAGATGCTGATTCCCAAACTGAGAGGAAGCATCATGAGGTGGACAACCTGACTTTCCCTTCAGGGCATCTGCTTCCTGCAGATAGAGGGGATGGGGGCTACCAAACCTGTTCATTCTGGACCTGAGATGGCTCTTCTCCTTCCCAAGTCTGAGCTGGAACTTCGATGCCCAGCTCTTCTGCTCTGTTCTTCTATTTCCTGAGAAATAGTTAAGGGGTTTTCCTGCTCTGACCCCAAGTTAACTTTATTAACAGTAAGAACTTGGAGGAGTTTCCCGGTCTTGGGAAATCTGAGTTTTCCCAGAAATGTTTTGTTGTAAACAGTGCCCACATTCTTTTCTATAATAAAACCTAATTCTTCAAGCTACTTTGAATGTCTCTTTATGTTGTAGCTTATTGTAAGGTTCTCTCTAACCTGATCACAAATGCAGAAATTTTTCTCCTTTCTGTTGACACATGATCAAACATACTACGCAAGTGTTGCTAACTATCCACATCATGGTAGCCCCATTCACTGTTGTTGTTAGCTTCACAGTCTGATCACAAATGCAGAAATTTTTCTCCTTTCTGTTGACACATGATCAAACATACTATGCAAGTGTTGCTAACTATCCACATCATGGTAGCCCCATTCACTGTTGTTGTTAGCTTCACAGCCACATTTGACTCTTAACATCAGGCCCTGTACATACACTTTCTGTGAATAGACTCTGTGGCCTGCCTCTAAGTCCCACCACTTTGGCCAAATTTAGGTGTCCTTTTCCAACCACAAAGCAAAATTCTTCTTTCCAATTTCTGGGCATTGCACTTCCTTGGACAGTCACTATATGGGGCAGTTTAGGGACTACAGCAAGTCTTGACTAATCCCAGACCCACACTGTAGGAGTCCACCTCCAGGGAGAACTACAGTTCTGTACAGCTCTTGCCTGTATAATGAGAAGCTTTAAGTATTTTCAGATTTTACCTGAAAACAAGAATAACTACATTCTAGGCTACCACTCAAACAATAATAAAATAAATCTGTCCATACAATATAGAGGCCTTCTATTAACATGTAATGTGCACGCAGATGCCTGGTTATAGCACTATCTGGTATATAAACTACAAGGCATTGATAGTTAATGTTCTCTGACAATTCGCAAGTCATAACTATCAGTTCTTGCATATTCACAAGGAAGCCTTTGTATTGTTGTTGGCACAAGCTGACGAAAATGTTTTAAATCCTACAGACCCTTTATTTTCCTGTTAAATGTTGTAAGTTAGCACTAGGGTTCTCTCTAGTGGTGAAATTTGGCCTACACTATTATTTCAAAAGAATTTTCATTGCTCCCACTTATTTCTCTCTAACATCATTCATAAGCCAGACGACCAATCACTAGATTATCTGACATGTGCCTAAAGAAGCTTACTAGTTGTTCTTTGCTTTAACAGGCAGTCGTTTCACTAATCACTTACTCGACAAACATTTACAGAATCATGTACGTGATGTTGGAGTCACAGAAATGACTGGTACAGCTCAACATCTAGGGAGACGGATAGGCAAATAATTAAAATGCAATATTATAACCATTATGGCATAACCGACCTGTTATGGAATAACCATACCAGTAAACAAGAGAAAAAAATCAGTCCTGCCTAGGAGAGATCAGAGAAAACTACACAGAGAAGATGATCTTTGATCTGAGTCTCGGTGGGTGCATCTGGTTTTGCCAAGTAGAAGAAGAGTCCTGAGAGCCTAAGTAATAGGATGAGAGAAGGTCATGGTGGTGAAAGAGGCTGGTCTGTCACAGTGCACATGAGAGAGTGGGTAGAGAGGTGTGGCTGGACTGAACAGTGAACGGGCAGAAGGATTTCATTCTGCAGACCAGGGATAGTCCCAGAAGGTTTTCAAGGATTTAATTCTATCGACCAGGAAGAGTCACAGAAGGTTTTCAAGGGAAGGATTGGCATGCTCAAATCTGTTCCAGAAAAACATGACTTTGGCAGCACTGTGAAGGACAGTGGGGAGCGCACGGAGCCTGGAAGTAGGAAGAATAACTGAGAAACTGTGGTATTAAGGTGGATTAGAGGGAAATCTTGGAACTAAAGTCAATGGCTGTGAGTACGATTTACGTGAAAGGCTCTTGTGGCTGCCGTCATCAGTGCCTCGTCCGTATCCCTAGGACATTACCAGTTCCATGGCCCTGTTGGCTGCCGGCTGCCAGTGTCAACATTCCGTGCCCAAGGGCTTTTACCAGAATTACAGAAGGTTGATCTGCCCACCCCTAGCTAAGTAGTCTAGAAGTTCTAGAGAATTTGCACCCTCCCAAGCATCCCTCAGCAACTACTGGTAGAAGTTACTATAAGATGTAAAATCCCAGCACCTGAAGGAGACTTGGGGACATCCAGGCTGTGCCCCTTGGGTCGCTGGGAGTCTGAGCCACCAGTGCTGCCCGCACTCCATGAAGAAGATGCTTGTGGCCGTCTCCCGCATGTTGTCTGGTGCTGCCCAGAAGCCAGCAAGCAGAGTGCTGGTGGCATCCTGTAATTTTGCAAATGATGCTACATTTGTAATTAAGAAATGTGACCTTCACTGGCTGGACGAGGGCCCTCCCATCACAACAGTGCTCACCAGAAAGGACGGACTCAAATATTACAGGATAATGCAGACTGTACACCGAATGGAGTTAAGGGCAGATCAGCTGTATAAACAGAAAATTATTCATGGCTTCTGTCACCTGGGTGATGGTCAGGAAGCTTCTGTGTGGGCCTGGAGGCTGACATAAATCCTACAGACCATCTCATCACAGCCTAATCAGCTCACGGCTTTACCTTCACATGGGGCCTTTCTGACTGAGAAATTCTTACAGAGCTTACAAGTTTGGTATTTGTAGAAACAGGAAGATGAAGAGGCGGCTGTGCTAAAGGAAAAGGAGAATCAATTCATATGTATGCCAAGAACTTCTACAGGGGCAATGGCATTGTCGGAGCTCAGGTGCCCCTGGGAACTGGGATTGCCCTGGCCTGTAAGTATAATGGAAAAGAGAAGGTTTGTCTGACTTTACAC